AAAAGTCAATCGCCTAACTTCCAAACAATCTATAACATCTCTAAACATAAATGTAAATGTACCTGCGCTGTATTTTAGTTTTTTCTTCCTCCACTAATGATTAAAAAACTTACCAGTGGCCTATGATAAAGGTTAAAACCCAAACAAAATACACTTTATTGCTTACTTTTGTCACTAGTATATCCAGTGGTCTTGGATAAATACTAGAAGCAATGTTCTGTGAAACAGTTTGGGGCCATTCGTATGAACATAAGAGGAATGGTGCTCCATGAGACCAAGGGTGCACATAGTTTAACACAGCAGCTATTCCAGCCACAAGTCCAGCCAAGGAGGACAGGGGCACAGCAGCCCCCTGCTGCCCAAGTCCCCAGCAGCCAGTGCACACGGGCACACTGCTCCGGATACTGGAGGCCACATGTAGCCATCTGGCCAGTAGCTACTGGTAAGCTTCCCCTCTATGAGTGTGCCCACATGACTCTTACAGCTGTTCAAACTGGTGGCTATCATTACGTTTCATGGAAGGTATGTTCCATATCTCCGGGAGCCGTCCTTGAAGGAAATTAGGAGGGACAGTACCCGGAGGAAGGCCTTCTCTGTGGTGGTGCCCCAACTAGGGAATACACTCCTAGAGAGGTTTGCCTGGTGCCAACATTATATTGTTTTTGATGTCAGGCAAAACCCTTTTTATTTTCCTGTTACTTTAATGTTTAATTGCTTTTAACTGGGGTTTTAGGATATTAATGGTCAGATGCTATGGGGTTTGTTTTATTCTACTTATTTATTGTAAGCCATCCTGACACGTTCTGTAGGGGACAGGATAGAAAAGCTTTTAATAAATAAATAATTTAAAATGTTCCATAGTTTTACTATACATAGTGTGAAGAAGTATTTCAGTATTTCCTTTATTAACCCCAATTTTCTCACCAATCAGCTTCAAGTAATAACCTCAGGTTATATTATTATGAGAGGAGAAAAATGTATTTTTACCCACTTCCTGTATAACATGCATAATTCTGCATACCTCAGTTTGTCTTTCCTTACACATATTCTTCAGTGCATATAGTAAGAAGGCTATTCAATTTCATTTATGGTAGACAATGGAGGGGTAATTTTGAGGCAAAAATCTATGCACTATGAAAACAGGACTTGGTAGTCTTGCATGTTATGTTGTCCTTTCTATTGTTATATAACCACACAGAAGAAATAATTGTTCAGCTCAGATAAAGTCTAAATCCCAATAAATGAGAGCCAGTGTGAGGTAGTGGTTAAGAGTCTTGGGCTGAGATTTGGGAGATCTGAGTTCTAGTGCCCACTCGGCCATGGAGCTAACTGGGTGACTTTGGGCCATTCATAGACTCTTACCTCAGCCTACCTCACAGGACTGTTGTTGAGAGGGAGAGCAGAATTATGTAAACTGCCTTGAGTTTCTTAGAAATAAAAAGGTGAGATATAAATAAAATAAATAAATGAGTGTATGCCAATTTGGAACGATCTGGTTTCCATGTCCATGCCCAACACCTGTGCTGGGAGGCAGAGGTGGAGCTGTTATCACAAAAAGGATCAAGACGCTGAGAGGCTGATATCTTCATTGCTAACACCTTGACCGTCAGCTAGGTCTTATTTTTACAGATGAATTTTCTCCAACATCTCCTTCCTCTTACATAGGCTCAGAAACTACATGCTACGGCATTCCATAGGGTCAGTTGCTGCCTTTCCTCTTGAGGTCTGGACAACAAATAGGAAGACGCAGGAATGGAGGCAGGTCTAGGGATGTGGTGGGAAAGGTTTCTGAGATTACCCATATGATGCACATAAGATGATGAACTTTGGGCTGCCTTCTAACATCCAGTAGTGCAGGACTTGGCATGTTATATGTATTGTTTCATTTTTCACATTTATACCCTCTGATTCTGGTTTTAAATGCCCTCTTAAGGCAGCTCACAATAAATTTCCTTCAAGCAACACTTAAAAAGTGACAGCATCCCAACTTTCATATAATAATATAATAATGTATTCATCAAAGCCATTAGCAAAATCATTATCAAATTGTTCGCAGATTCTCTGCTCAAGAAACATGCACATTTTTTGCTGCTTTACTATAACCACTAAACTATGTTCAGTGCCACTGAATTGCAGGGAACTACTGGCAACAGTTTCCTGAGGCCACTGTACAGTATCAAATCCCTTTCTGATGTTTTGTTTTGTCAAACAGAGTAGTCTTGATGCCTTTTATTCTGTTAGCTTTAAACATCATCTTTCATTTTGGAAATCTGAAACATTTTACATAGTGTCAGCAGACAAAGTCTTCAGTATTCGTTTCAACTTATTTTCTTTTCACTCTGATATGTCATTATATCGCTAAATATGCCAAAGAGTAAAAGCTTAACTTGACCCAAGTATGTTATAAACTATTGATGGTGTCTGCTGAAAAACCAGAGGAGAGGTTAGTCAAGTTTTTTTCTTTTGCATATGCCTGTATCACTTTCCTTTGCTGCTATAGCAGCTGTGGATTCTCTTTCTAACATCATTTGGCATTGCTGGTGTAACGGAGGTTTATTTAGGACTGAGTTCATGCAGTGCAAGAAGCCATGGGAGTTTATAAGCTGTCTGAACCCAGCTATAGTGCTAACAAACTACAGTGCTGGGTTCAGAAAACACACTTACAAGACTTTTCTTGTTGGGGAGATTCAATCAATGTCAACTTCCACTGAGCAGGTTATCAAGTGCAGATCTTGACACCAATATGTTTTCATAGCTCTACTCATACAAAGAAATACTCAGAAGAGCCATGATGTTTAAAAGAGAGCAAATGCCTCTCAATGGCTTACCTTGAGTGTACAAAACAGCTTTTAGAAATGAAAATGCAGTCTGTGCTCCCACACGAAAGCATGCCCACCCTCTCTGTAACAGTCACGCGCACACAGCACAATAGTCTCTACCATCTGCTCTTGTATATCTTTCGCGAGTTTTAACATTTTGGTTTTAGAACCGAAATGACGAGTAAAATGTCAAGTCACCCAGAAAATAATCATAGGCATGACAACCAAAATGTTAGTTCAGCTTGTCTGTCTGGAAAAAAGTTCATGGGAGAGCAGCAGCCTCCTACTTTGGAGATGCTACTCTGGACTTTTATTCCTGGTAAATGCTCAACGAGCTGCGCAGGGTGGTAGCTGCATGGCTCTTATTGATGTTATTGAGAACCATGAGGCTCAAAATTAGGGCTGTGCCAGACATTCATTCCAATTTTTATCATTCTCGTTCAGTTTGATGCAGGGAAGGATTGGTTTGAAAAAGAAATCAAAAGCAAGAATAATTTGGAGAAATTCTTGTAGGAGGGTTCTCAGGATTTTGTGCTTACCTTATTTTGGGGATGGTCAAAACTGGGTTGTGCCTTTAACTGGACGAGAGTCCTGGCCTTTCTTTCACTGCACCATCAGCTCTTGTAGGCTCCTCAGGTTCTTGTGCTTCAATTAAGCCTCAGAATATAATAGGGCTTTTTTAGCTGAGGAATCAACCACAGGCAGCCTGGACGGCTACAGATGAACAGAGAGATGTGTAATGCAAAGAAAAAAAATACAGGCAGCCCCTGTAGCTGTCCTACAGTGAATAGGGATGCTCAAAAACACCATTAAAACAACACAACACCTTGACAATGCAGAAGCCTCTTTCATGAGAGAAAGGAATCTTTCAGGAATTTGGAAGACAGATTTTGGCACAAAACTAGCTCTATCCTGGAGATGCAAAGCTGCCCCTCATGCACTTGCTTTGTGGTGGAATCAAAACAGGGACAGGCGTGCCAACACAGTGGCAACATAAGAAACGTTTGGAAGAAAGGAAGAAAGAAGCTGTGCCAAAGGTGATCCCTGCCTGTGTGAAATGGTTAAAGAAATTGGCCCTTCCCTGAAGAAATTAAGTGAAATTGTCTCCCCAATTTCTTTGCCCATAAACAGGCTGGAGAAGAAGAGCCCATACGCTTAAAAACTTGCAAAGTTTTCTGCAATTCACAAAGTCTGGGAGATGTTGTTATTGGTAAGATAAGCAGATTTAAGATCAGCAGCACACATGTATTTAATAGTGTCCCTTCCGAAAGCTGATTGCGAGCTATCTGATCCAGAAAGCCGGACTTCAAAGTGGGGCATCTGCATTCCAATATGTGCTCAGTCATAGGAGCTATGGGCAAGTAAATGTTTCAGCCACTCTTATCCATGCTGTCTCAGATGAAAGCAATCATATTCTGCTGTAGAGTCCTGTCTCAAGCCCAATAGATGGAGCAGAATTTTATATAACTCTTTCAGCCTGTTTCGCCCCTAGCTATACATAATAGATGGCTTGGTGAAGCTCATTTAGCCATGTGATTTTTCAACTCATTTCCATCCTGGCTGTTAAATTCAGATGGAAGAACCCAGTGCAAGCAGCTTAGAGCCTCAAGTGCCTGGCATAATCAGGAAGCACCTCCATGTGTTCAAAAGGGTCTATGATTTCCATCTTCCTGCTAGCCGCTCATGGTGGCTGCTCACGGAGACCGATGGATCCAGTGCTGGTGGTGTTGCGTATCAGATCTGAGTTTTAGCACCTATAAAGTTCAGGCTGAAATCCAAAATGGATTCTTGTTGAACAAACCTCTGGCCACAGTTGTTTCCCCTTCTCTGTGCATTTCTGATCAGTTGCAATAATCCATATATTTTAGCATAATTATGCTAAATTTATATAATTTTGTGTATGCTGACAGCTAAAGTTTACTGTTTGCAAAATAATCATGTCAGACTCTGTAGATTAGATTTCAAGTTGTGCAGAATACGTTTTTATGTGTATTTAGATTGTGCTTCACTTCTTACACGAAAGACTGATCCAAAAGTTTTCCTCCTTACATAACTATCCAATTGTTGGGGCTAGAATGATGAAAATTATAAGAGCATCCCAGTTTCTTTGAGAAAAAGACTTTCTGCATTCATAGCATTATTATCTGTGTACTGATGCACTTTAATGCATATTTGTTTCAGGCTCTGCTTGATACTCAGAACCTTCTGAGAGCTCAAATCACAAATTTCACTTTCAACCTGGGATTTTCAGGGAAATTTTACCACACAGGTAAGAATGAAAACAGCAACAGCAGAATCACTCTCAATCTGTTAGTGTCCTTGCAGTGCATAGAAACTAAAATTGATTTCAGTGCTGCAGCTTGGTGCTATAAAGCCAAATGGAATGAAAGTGAAGAACTCTTGGAGTCTGGAGGAAGAAGAAATCTTCCTTCAAGAGTATAAAACTAGAAAATCAATCAACTCTTCCTTATATTGTGAATTTTACAATGTGAGCTAGCCTGCTACTGAAATCTATACATTTTCACTGTTGTCTCTGCCCGTAGGGCTGTTGTATTATCCATTGTAATGTCACAGTTCTGGCAGGCTGGGAGTGGAGCAATGCCACCGTCTTGTGATCTTTGTGGTTCTCTCCATACCAGCTGTAAGGGTAGGGAGATGGTGCTGGGAGCCCAAAGTTTGAGTTCCAACTGAATTCCAAGCACAGAGCCTGGAAATTTTCCTGCAGAACTTGAACTACCTTCATCTGTCTATCGTTTTTCAAATGGTTATAGGATTGGGTCCTCAATTACTTTGAATAGGTGTCAAATTGTTCTGCAAACATCCTTTTTGTTTTGATGAGGGATGGCTCGTTGTTGCCAACTCTGAGCTGTTAAATGTGAAAACTGGCAGGATTAATTCATTTTTATAACATAATAAGAACCGTTTATAACTGCAAAAAGTTGCCATTTATTTCTGACGTATCACCTTTTAATTGTATCAATAGTAAATCCATAAGTGAATATGGAAACATTTAAGCAAAATTGCTTCAATTTGAATTTAAAGTCAGGCCTGTTATGTGGCGTTCACTGGATATCCCTAATTATAGCAACAAATGGCAAATCTCCTTTGGATAAACTTGGCAATTACTTGAGTTTATCTGGTATGAAAACTGAAAGACTTCAGGCAATCATTCTGAGTCAAGCTAAGGCTTTACCCCCATAGGAACTAATGGGTCGCTTCATTAAGAGAAAAGGTTACGAAGCTGCCTATACTGACAAATTATTGCTCCTACAGCCTCTTTCTGTCTTCATCACAGGAGCAAACAGAGTGAAGCGGCTGCATTAGGGAAGTTTCTGCATCCCACAAGAGCATGCATGTCATTCACAGACTTTTATGGCCAAATGGGAATTTGTACCTGGTTCACCTTAGTCCTAGTCTGACACTAAGAAGATGAATTAACGTCAGTATGTTGATGCCAATGGGCCTGATTTTGAATGTCTAACCATCTAATCCCAAGTATGTCTGCTCAGTGACTTCAATGGGACTTACTCCCAAACAAGCTGGTATAGGATTGCAGTTGTGCAGTGCAGTCTGGCGAGGCTACCTGCAACCCACTGCACATGCAGTATAAATGACATCCTGTGCATGGTAGGAATACAAGAGAGGCAAAGGATGCCTCCATGCTCTTTCCACCATGCAAACCACTGCCGTCTGAGTGTTTGGCCTCAGAGCACAAGGAGAGGTACCATCACCGTACTGTGCTTGCTGGCCAAGCCTGTCCCCTCTCTTCTGTGCCCCTCAAAGTCCTTCTCCAATATAAAATCATAGAAGTTGTTCCAGACCCAGTTTATTATAGTTTCACCAGCAGCCTCTGCCTGTGCAGTGGCTCCACTTAGAAGCAGAGAAAGGAGTAGCTACTTTGCATCACGGCTGCAGTGCAAACAGGATCTGAGTATCTCTGATGGCATGCAAAAGGAGGACATCTACATAATTACCACAGAACAGATCTCTTTATGTTGGCTCACCCCTGAAATGACCATATTGTTCATTGACAAAGTCACTGGTTTTAATGAACTCCTAAAATCTAATGATCCCAGGCAGGCTATTGCATTCTTTCAGCAGCTGCTTCCTTTCGAAAATCACTTGCTTTTGCAGACTGAAAGAAGAGGGGAAACAGAGGAAACAAGAGTCAGTTGAGGAGGGCACACAGAAGACATTAGAACGTAACAGAAAAAAGTTCTGTTGCTGGAAAGATGGCAGGAATGGAATGTATGAACTGGATAAATGAATTGGATAAACAAAGCATCCCATTTATTCCATCTCTATACTGTTCATTAGCCAAAGCCATGGGCATCTTGATCAGGGCCCTAAAGTAGAAACCAACTCAAATACAAAGCACAGATTCCTTATTTGTAAGACTGAAAATTGGTACCATTATCAAAAGAACACAGAATGGGTTGCTTAATTAACCTCTCACTTTGGGCTAGAGATGTTGGAAAAATCTGCAATGGTTTTGAATGAGTTTGCATTTCTATGAAATGTACATGTTGATGTTTTAATATGCAAATATATTTATCTCCAATCATCTTCATAACTGAGTAATCAACTGAAAAATCTTGATTCAGCAGTGACCCTGCATTCAAAGGTTTTTTAATGGTACTCTTTGTTTTTCCCATTGGCCTTTTGTCCTGACCTTTGCATTGCCCAGCAGTGACTTTGGCAACGGTATCTACCAGCAGATTGGTGAAGTAGGTGGCAGGATATACTTGCCACATAACTTAGATCCCTGGCCGCCAAGTACACTGCTCGGCTTCTTGGGGTACCACTGGCTACCTAGCTAGCCCCCCTGCATTCCATTACCATGCACAGCTCTGCTCATCCTAGCCCAGGAGTGATGCTGCTTATGCCCACAGGCCAAATTGGCTCTCTGGGTTCTGCAGGTAACAATGGCCCATTTCATCCAGCTGCCAGTTGTTTGGCAGTTTTCTGATTTTGCACATTTTTGCCTATACAAAAAGCTTAAAATCTCTCTCCTAAGTTTTAGTTGGTGGCAATAAGCACTTTAAGCTAAAACATGCTGGTATTTTGTGGGGTTGGCCCTGACTCTGGTTTTGGCCCCACCACACTGGAATGCTTGCCCAAGAGCTTCTCCGAGATGGAATCAAGCCCTTTGGCTGAAAGAGGGCCGACACCTCTGTCTTAGCCTAAGTCAGCCTGGTGAACTGCAGTGCTGTTCTCCCTGTTTTTTATTTATTTAAAGTTTTTATGGACCATTCAATGAGCCACAGCTCTCAGAACAGTGAACAATTTAAACAATCTAAAAATATAATATACATGTAACATAGGCAGTTAACTTTATAGGGGTGCAATATAATCAGCAATAGCAATTTAATACAACAATAAAGCCACATCACAAAATGCCAGTGACATATAGGTAAAATCCAGTATAAAATCCAATAATACAATCAATTTCATTACATTATAGATATTATTTAATAATTAAAAAGTTGGGAAAGTTAAAAGGTTCTGACCTGGTGCTTAAATATATAAAAAGCCAGTGCCAAGAACTCCCTGGGGTGCTGGATCCATAATTGGGGAGCCACAACTGAGAAGGCCCTCCTCCTTGTGGCCACCATCCTTACTTCTTTTGGAGGTGTCTTCCAGTGAAGGACTTCTATAGATGACCTAAGAGTCCAGGGAGGTGTTTATGGGAAGAGACACTCCTTAAGATACCCAGGCTACAGGCTGTTCAGGGCTTTCTTTGTTGATGTAAGAACCCTGAAGCAGGCCTGGACTTCAACATAGCTGATGGAACACAGGACATATGTGTTCGTACCTGCCCATCCCTATTAACAGGTGGGCTGCCCTGTTTTGTACCAGGTAAAATCTCTGGACCATTTTCAAGGGCATCCCCACATTCCTCACATTACAGTAGTCTGAACATGAATTTGCCAGAGCATAGATTATAATTGCTAAGTTCTGCTCATTCAGATAGGAGCTGAGTCAGTATATCAACCAAAGTTGATAGAAGTCAGACCTAAGTTCTCTAGAAAAATCCACACCCTGTCCCTTGACACAGCAGGTGCAGCTTTTGCAAGCACATGGACTGCTGCTTGTTTTTTGGATCAGTATTTAGCCACAGAAATGCTTCCTCCACTACATATCCAAAATGCCTTGGTTTTCCTAACTGTCAGGGCAATATGGCAGCGGAACCAAGAGAGGTTGTGGGCTCTCCCAGACTGAAGATGTGCAAAGTGAAACTGGACGGTCATCTGAGTGAGATAGCATGACTTGATGTCCTGAACCAGCAGGAGGTTGAACCAATGGCCTCCTTGGCCCCTTCTGACCCTACTATTCTATGATTCTATGAATTTTCTTCTATATTGGGCTGTTGGTTGCTTATGTGTTTCTTTTCAGGTTAAACTGATCTTTCCACCACAATTTATTGTGATCTAATTCCAGAGTGTGTTGTGCTGTGTCAAACCCTTGTTAAATGAATGTTTAAAATAGCATAGCAAGTTATTCTAATAACTAATTTATTTCTGCAGGAACTGTAGAGGAAGATGAAGGTGATGACCTGTTGTTGGGGTCTGTAGATGAATTCTGGTGGTTTCCTCATATGTGGAGCCACATGCAACCCCACCTCTTCCATAATGAATCTTCACTGGTGGAGCAAATGATCCTCAACAAAAAGTTTGCCTTAGTGAGTTCAATGCATACACTGTGGGTGTTTCATTTTATAGTCTGCATTTTAAAAAGTAGTATTTTCTCTTGCACTTATGAGAATGTACTGAAATACCTCTTCGATCACTTTATATGGGCAGTCATTCTTAGCTTGAAATGAGCCATGCATCTATGATGCTAATGGGAAAATGTAATAAAATCACGAAACAAGCACAATTGGGTTCCAGATTCCAGTACACCAATTCCTTAAATTCAGATCAATTGCCAACAGGTTTTTACCAGCAGAAGTCCTGTTGCCTGTTGACCGTGGTCACCTCCATGATTTCAAGAGTACATTTCACAACCTTTAGGATCACAGAAAGATCTGCCAGCCTGAAACCATGATTTCCATGCTAGGGAATGGTCATTATCATAGGAAAAATATGTGATACTGCTTTGATGGTCCTATTTGCAGTCATTATCTACCTCCTAACTAGAAGATGCTGCCCATTCTGAAGGGAAATAAGGGGATGTTTCCTTGAATTGTATTCCAGAATTCACATCCCAATATAAAAATCAGGGAAGCCACATATAGTGGCATGCACAGCCTGAAAAGCTAAACTCTGCTGCCACCTATGAACAACTGACAAAACTGCAGGGCAAAGTAGTAACTTAGTTTTGGAGTTAAGTATCAAATCCCCAAGAAAACATTTTCCCACAAACAATTCTGTACAATGCAATCTTGCAAATCTACTCAGGAGTAAGCCATTTAAGTTCAATGGAACTTACACTCCGGTAAGTGAAAATTTAAGCCTTAAATCTGTATTGTGTTATAAATTTGTACTTTCTTCCAGTTAACCAGAGCTATGATATTAACTGCGTAATATAGTATTATTACAGTAATTCATCACAGAAGATATTATAAATATATGCATTTCATTATGTATCAGGTTTCTGTTTTATGAAATGCGAGCACTTATTTCTTTTACTTAGATAGTACAGTGTACTGAAAGTATATTAAGAAAATAAAGCACAACTGTTTTTATTTGGTATGTCTTTTCTGGGAAAATACCACCAGGAATCCTAATTTCATGCCTCCACCCCCTGCCACAATATCTGAAGTACAAAATAACAGATAGACTAAAGGGATTAATCGGGGTGTGTTTTTTGTCAATGTTTCATATCTAGGGTGAATGAAGAAACATTGTGTATGGGTTTCAATAAATGTGGTATGTGTATGTAAAGTGGTATATTTATGATTTGGAACGTGTCCTTAAGGGCATGGGGTAAATCTTAAGAAATGACTTCCAACAGAGCAATCCTTACTCCCTCAGGCAGCCGTGTGAAGGAGTTTGGAGGGTTCAGAGGTACCTTTCAAGTTTCCACTGGCAAGGGGTCTGCATTTTGCATTTATCTCAGAGGTAGTTATACCCTTGGAAAGGCCCCAAAACATGGATTTTGGGATAGAGTAAGGACTGGACAAAGGCAGTCTTGGATCTGCTGGGTCCAAGGCCCCTTTGTTCTCCAGAGGGGTTGTAGGACTGCACCTAATGCCAGCCTGGAACTGGCCTAACTAATTTGGAATCATTTTTTAAAAATTACATAAGAATCATGTGGGATGAAAAGCTGCAAGTCCATTCCCCCACACCTCTCAGCATGGTCAACATGAGCTGGCAGCGCTGTGGTGGATCAGCCAGCACTTCACAGACACACCACAGCCCCACTTAAGATTGCACTGTCTATCTTGCTTTTGCATGTAGTGATCGTGGAATAAGTTTTGGCCTGGTGCTGAAATAAGTAAAGCATTGGCACCAATTGCACCTATCTGGAGAAAAGGTTCTAACAGTCAGGGCACTACCACTGAGAAGACCCTTCCCTGAGTAGCCAGTCTTCTAGCTGCTTTAAAAGAGGGCTCCCAGAAAAGGACGATCTTAAAATTCAGGCAGGTGTATATGGAAAGAGATGTTCAGGTATTCAGATATTCAGGCCCTAAACCATTTAGGGCTTTATACATCACTGTTAACACCTTAAATCATGGCCACACTTAAGTTGGTAATCAGTACAGATGGTCTAGAACTGACCTTATGTGATCTTGTCTTCCAGTTTTAGTTAGAGGCTTAGTGGCTCTATTCTGTACCAACTGAAATACCCCAACTGTTTTCAAGGATAGCCCCATGTAGAGCACATAGCAATAGTCAAAGTGGGAGGTTACCAGAGCATGGATTACCACTGCTAGGGACTGCCTGTCCAGTTAAGGACATAATTGAGGACCAGACAAAACTGGTAGAAAGTGTTCCTCACCCCAGCAACCACCTGAAATTCCAAGGATAGCTCTGGGTCAAGGAGCCAAACTATGCACCCTAGCTCTGTCCCTTAGGAAGAGTGCAGAATATCACTCACCTGGAGAGATGATCCACCTACCAATAGTACCTCTTTCTTGTCTGAATAAAGGCTCACTGTATTTGTCCTCATCCAGTCCATTACTCCATGTAGGCATTCAGAACTGTCACTGACTCACCTGGATTAGATAAGAAGGAGAAGTAGAGCTGGGTGTCACCAGTATACTGGTGACCTCTAACAGTGGTTTCATGTTAGATGTTAAACAGCATGGGGTATACGATGGAACCCTGCAGAATTCCATGGCATAATTGCCATGGCACAGAACCATAATCCCCCAGCACCTACTTCTGGAATAAGCTGGTCAAATAAGAGTGGAACCACTGCAAAGCAGTGCCTTCAACACCCAAATTGACCAGTCAGTTATTCTCATTTTCAGTTCTAGTTTTCATAAAAATTGGTAAATGGAAATCCATGTTGCGTGGATTATTGCAATATAAATGATTTTATACAGAGAGAGAGAGAGAATTTATATGCTGCCCCATAGCCCAATCTATCTGTGTGGCTTACAATGAAACAGGAAAAAACGTTTAAAAGGGGGTGAAAGTCTGAACTTCTAAAGCAAGTGAACTGACCATGAGAAAGGGATTGAAGTCAACACACCTACTACAAGATCACCATCTTCCTGCCCAGTTGAGAAAATAAGGTCCAGAGTGGGACCTCTTAAGTGCATGTTGAGACAGCCCATCGTTGTCATGGCTGCCATGAAGTCCTGAGGCACCACAGTCAAGGCAACCTCGGCATGAAAATTGAGATTCCCCCAAGAACAACATCCTGGGGCGTCTTCAACACCAAGTCCAAGACCACCTCTGTCAGCTTAGGCAGAGTATCTGCTGGGCAGCAGGATGGTCAGTACATCAGCAGAATCCCTAATCTGTCTTGATTGCCCAGTGCAAGGTACAGACACTCAAGACCTGCACTTGAGTGGACAGCCTAGGGAGAGGGATTCAGTCCCTGTGGACCATGGCCAACACCCTCCCCAGGCCCCAAGAAGATGTTGATGCTGCACCAAGTACCCAGGGGTGTACAACTAGGAAAATGTTACCCTTCCTTTCTCCCCCAGGCAGGTCTTGGTATGGCAAGTCAGGTTGTCCCCCTCATCCAAGATTAAATCAGCTCTTACTATGAGCCAACCTGGGATTTAACAGCAGCAACACAAGGCTTGAGGACAGACGGGCACAGCAGCCAGGAATCATCTGGTTCGGGGAAAGACCAGATGAGGGAATAGCAATAAGACATCTACCCAGTCTTCTCTTTTGCTGGCCTATCAATCCTCCAACCCTATATCTCCCTCTTCCTGTGACAACTGTGATAGGAACACCCTCATACTCCCCTGTGTTAGCCAGGTAAATCAGTAAAAGCAGCACAAAGGTTAAAGCATAAGCTGTGTTCTAACTGCTGTGAGTTTTTAACAAAACAAGCAAAAAAGAGAGGCCTGCCTCTTGAATCAGTATTCAGCAGCAGAAGTGTTGAGTAGATGTGTTCAATAAAATCAGTAAGCTCCCAGGAACTGCTTTAGGAATTTTCCTTTAAAACAGAATTTAGAAATTGCATTACATTTGCAGATAGAAACAATCAAAGGAGAACTGAACTGAACTTAATGAAATAAAAAGCAGAGACTTAAAATCACGAAGGAGCCTTCATTTTAAGCTTTGAAATGTAAAGCTTAGTGAGAGAAAAGATTTAAAATCTGGAGGAAAAAGATTTGCTATTAACAAGTCATATGGGTGTTCATCCAGGATTTAAAAATAATCCATATAAGTCTCTCTAAATTAATAAATTACCTAGGGAGTGTCATTTGCATGCTACCAAATAGCAGTTTTCGATCAACATAGATAGAAATAACAAATCATCATAAAAGAAAAAAAACCTGGGTGGTACTGTTCTTGAGAAAGAATTGTAATCTGCTGAAAGAACCATAAACTATTGTACAACCTGTAACAGAGAGATCTTAAAAAAATAATCAGATAAAACAATAATTGCACTGAACTAATCAGTGTATGTTTATTTAAACAAATTTTGGTTAATTTACTTTTATACTTTTACATTTTTTATTGATTACTTATTTTAATTTAATTTTGGTTAATTTATTAACCTTTGGGTTATGGGCTAGCATAGAAATGGAAGCAAACAAACATGGAAACTACTTTATAATGCCCTTCCTTGTGAAAAAGGAAGCAGAAAGACTCAAGCCAACATTAGGTTTTGGAAGCTCTTATTTCTCCTACGCAAAATATATATGGAAGTACCAAACAGTTGGTGTAAGAATATTATAAGGTTCAACATATAGACATCAGATTATCTGCATCCATATATATATATTTCTGAAAAATAGAGGTTTAAAAGTGATATTGAGCAACCTCACATGGGCTTTTGGTAGGGGTTTTTCCTTCCACGAGTAGTAAAATATGTTAAAATATTTATCCCAGTTCACACATAGAATGTCTAGTTCACCACTGAAAAGGCTGGGGAGAGGGAGATCGCTCTCACATTGTCATTTTTAATTGGTCATCGTCAAGATGTGCTGTGTTGCTTTTGTACTGTTTTCTAATGGGCTAACACAACTGCCTACAGTTTTTGTCATCTTTTCACCAGCACTGTAGCTGAAAGCACTATGTGAAAAACAACATTCGTGCACTTGTTCAGATGCGTGCTTGGTGGAGTTTCCCACACATTAGCTGTGATGGCTTAGTTTGTAATTTGATTTTGCTTTGTTTCAGGAACATGGCATTCCAACTGATATGGGATATGCTGTGGCTCCACACCATTCTGGTGTGTATCCTGTTCATGTTCAGCTTTATGATGCCTGGAAGAAGGTTTGGAATATCAAAATCACGAGCACGGAAGAGTACCCACATCTGAAACCTGCACGGTACAGGAGAGGCTTTATCCACAAAAACATCATGGTGAGCTGCTTGGCTTCTGAGCCTGAATGGTCTGCTTACTTTCCCAGTTACTTGTGACTAATCTCAAAAGACAAGAATGTTACAAAATCTCCGTATACCAAAGCTGCACTTTGTCGGGCCTCAGTTGTTCATGCACTAGTTTCCTCCAGCTTAGATTACTGTAATGCTTTTGACACTGGTCTCCTTTTGAAGATGATCTGGAAATGTAAACTGGCTTAAAGTGCAGCTACTGGATGTTGAGTGGGGCCCATTGGCTAGAACATACAACTTTAATGCTCTACCAACTTTTTGGGTATAATTTTGTTCTGTTTCTAGACTTGGTACAAAGTAGTAATGTTAACCTTTCAAGCTCTTAAGGGCCCAAAGGGAGAAAACATCTTAAGAACGGCTGACTTCCATGATCACCTTCAGAGTCCCTATGTCTCATTGCTGCTGGGGATATATAGATGGCTGGTGGGTATGAGAGACAGCCCTTTGAAGCTGAGCAGTTGCTGCTCTGAAGTTTTACTTGGTCCTGCCTACTGATGTGATTTCAGATACCGTTATAGATTTTCTTAGTTTTATGTGGTAGTATGTCTCTTGTGTATTATGATTTTACTGCAGTTCAGAATGATGATTGTATGCTACTTTGGAAAGAGGAGAATATATTTAAGTAAAGTTCAATTTTAATCCAGCAACATTGTGTTCTGGTGATGTTCCTTTGCACATGGATTTACTGGCACAAAATGATATTGCTACTTATCTGCAAGATGTTCCAGGAAGGGTGACCAAGTGCTCTGCTTTATGGAGGATAGTTCTCTATTTGAAGGTATACTCTCTTTGAAGTCAGTGTAAAGATAAAGAACTACAGCAAGATAAGAAACCCTGGACATTGCCCACCAGCAGATAGCACTTAGACACCAAACTGAGCAGGCATGCAAACCACCTGATCCTTTTCCACCATGGTGATATGTATTGAATTTCTGTTTAAAGAGCAGTGCTTCTAGATTGCTTCTACATTTATAAATGAGCATGGACATGTGTTCTCTGTGTGCTGTTTTTTGACTGCACATTTCCTCTTTCTTTGGTGATCTGTAAGTGGCCAATTTCCCTCCATAAGTGTGCAGGTTTCTTCTATGCAGTTTCCTGACCATCAGAGAAAATTAACAATATGGCCCAACCATGGTAGCCATGTTCAGTGTGATATAAGGGCAAGTTGAACACATGCTGATATTTCTGACATTAGAGTGATTAGGACTTAGAGGTGCTTAGAACTGGCTAGAACAGACCATGCTCTATTTCTAGTTTTGTTTTCTTTTTCATACCTCCTCTTGTTACATTTTATACAGGTTCTTCCTCGACAAACGTGTGGTCTTTTTACTCATACAATTTTCTACAAGGAGTATCCTGGTGGTCCAAAAGAACTAAACAAAAGTATTCAGGGAGGAGAATTGTTTTTCACAGTTGTTCTTAATCCAGTAAGTAACTCAAATTATTTTAAGAAAAATAAACAATAAGTTTCATTTACAAGGGGGCATGTTTTAAGGGTGCAATTTTAATTTTTTGGAAAATAAAAATCATACAATTCCCAGCATTTCCAAGTCAGTATGTAGGACTACTTTTATTTCTAAGCATCATTATACATGAATACTTTTAGAGCAGATGTAAATAAAGCTGCCTAGAAGTATGAGTAATAAATAAAATGCAATTAAATATTGGTCATCTTGTCACCAGCCATTTAGATTTATAGCCTAGTTTATGATAATTATGTTGTCAACTTAAGCATTCTAAGGCTTCACAGCAAGAAATTCCCACTTTGGAAGTGAGTACTCCAAACAGATACTCAGAATCACTCAAGGCAAAATAGATACACATTTAGGTATCAACAACAGCAACAAAATCTTGTGAAGCTGAACAAATGAACCTAAGCAATGTTTTGACAAATGCTACAGGAATAACTACTTGTGATGTTCAAATGCAGTAAGCATCTCACCAAATGAACCTAAAAGAGGGAAGAGAAGAATATGATTCTGACACTACTCTGATGAATACCTATCTGATGAATACCTATCAGGAAAATCGCAGAATAGTAGAATTGGAAGGGGCTGGAAGACCCAGCCCCCTGTTCAGTGCAGGATTCCCAGTTAAACCATCCCTCTCAGATGGCTGTCCAATTGCATCTTGAATGCCTCTAGTGTGGCCCACAACCTCTCTAGTGTAGTGGTTAAGAGCACAGGACTCAGGCAAACTGGGGTCTAGTCCCCTCTTAGCCATGTAACCAACTGGGTGACTTTGGACCAGTCACAGACTCACAGCCCAGCCTACTTCACAGGTTGTCATCATGGGGATAAGCTTGAGAGCAGCAAAAGGAGAATGATGTAAGATGCTCTCAGTGGGAAATAAATCTAATAAATAAATAAAATAAATCTAGGAATACTAGCTCCCATCTCCCCTTCCATTACTACCCAGATATCTGCATAACTAACATATGTGTGGAGGAGTGGGATAGATTTTAGAAGAAGACTAGCAACTTTGTACATTTCATTTGCCAGACCGACCAATCTACATTACAATGGCAAATCTGGGTTTGCCCTGAAGACTTTTTCAAAATAGAGTTATAAATACTCACAGCTTTTTAATGCCCTGAATTCACCAAAATTCAGCCTTGCTTCAGACACACAACACTGTATAAGAGATGACAGGGAAATTCCATTCTATGCCAATCAAAACAAACATGATCTTCCAGGTCTAATTATATAGATCTTATAAAGTTCTTTTATCCCTGCCTCTGTCCAGAAAAACAGCTGCAAACTGTAAAATGCCCAGTACCATATGTGAATGTCTAAACTGATACAAGAATTTGTATTAGCTCACTACTTCCCAGGCATTCTAAGCTACCGAATCCTTCGGGTTCAGAAACCTAAGTCCTATGCAGAAAACTATACTGTGCTACTTATAGTAATGGGAAACATCAGAACTTGTGTGCTAAAGTCGACCATCTAGTGGACTCCTAATGTGTATGCATTGTATGGACTTGGTTTACACTTCTCATGTTGTTGGCTGAACTATAATCTGATAGCAGCTCTGAAATTACCTGGGCAGCAAAGGCCATTGTGTTCAGAAAGCCTGTCACGTGCCTAAATTCTATCAGAGTATAGAAGGAACATAGGACGTTGTTAGCATACTTTTGACTGCTAATGGCAAGTGTGTATCTGTAGGTTGCGGCCGCTGCTTAGGGACAGCACTATCAACAGTAAACACTCTTCTACAATCCTATGCATGCCTAGTCAGAAACAAGTCCTACTGGAGTCAATATGACATCTTCCCAGTAAGTATGCATAGGATTGCAGGCCTGATATCCTTTGTAACCAGTTAGTTGGACTATGTACTAGGAGATAGCAAGGCAGGGTGGGTGATGACAAGGCTCAGAGCACTGTAATTCATTTGGGAGTAAAAACTGAATTACTTCTGGTAACTTTAAAGGTGGTGCCACTGCGTTGATCCAAATGGGCTGCATCCCCCATTCTTGGTAGCGATTCTAAAAATGGTTAAGGGAATAGACCATCCTTTCATAAAGGATGGGTGGAAAACACATGGCCCATGCCAGCAGCATGAATTTGCTGCAGAAAAGGCACAACTTTGGAATTAAACAGAGTGTATGAGGAACATACACCTTGTTAGGAATCATAATGGTGCTTCCCAGAACCCTACTGGGAGTGCAGATCTGCTTGTAACCAAGGTACTTACTCAATGCACATCTTGTTTCCTCCTACGGCATTGTATTTTTGTTATTGCATGAGCAAATTCAGCAGCAAGGACAACTTCAGCGGCAGAGGGCACGGTCCCCTACTGGTTCTAGAGGGGCCATGTGGTCCCGTTCATGGGATGACACCTATCCTTGCCTTTGAGAACCATTGTCCAATGGATCAGGTTAAACAGGCCAATTATTTCTTGCCAGTAGAAGAATCCTACATCTTGCATTTCTCCAGAGAGCAGGTGGAACATAGTTTTTATTCCTTTCAGCTTTCCTGGCTTCATTTGTCCTTAATACCTTGTAGCGCGGTGCAAATTCAGTATTTAGGAAGGAAGGAACGGCAGGATTCTGACAGCTTTTCTTCAGAGTACCTTGGGCTTCTTCCTGTCATCAAATGTCTGTCCCATCTATCCCTAGGCAGAGGGTATTTGATGTATATACATTATTAAATTTGCCTGCTTCAGTAATTAACACTACCCATTTTGCTAGGCATACAGTTCTTTTGTTTTACATTTTGACATAATGCTAACATTCTGTACCTCAGGTGACACTTTATTTCTTACTGCAGCACTTCTAGACATGGCTGACTGCCATGCTGATCTTTCTTCATTTTCAAGCCTGTGACACTATTGTCGCCATTGGTGGTGTTCCATTCTGACAGAACTGTGGTGCTTTCTCTGTGACAAGGCAGGCTTGCTGATCCACAATAAGAATTCCTCTGCCTTTGAGCAGATCTTCATCCATTTTTATTGCTTCCTTCCTTGGGCTAACCCACTCCTGAAATGTAAGAAAGAGAAGGATGTAAATCCTTAGTGAAGCAGCTAATTGTTGCCGCAGCAGCCTCCTTCTGTGACTCAGAAATGGCATCGGTTATGGCATATTTTGTTGCTCCAGAGATGCCAGAATGCTTCTAAATCAGCATGACAGTGGGCCATTTCCTTGTGATAAGAAAGAACAGGACCTCAAGGAGGTGGTTGTGCTGAAAGTATTCAGGGTGAGCACCTAGATTTCAGAAAGTTACATCCTGTGGGCAGTCTGGCATCTTCTCTTGTTGGTTCCCATCCTCCACAGTATAATCTCAGATTGGATAGAGGCCATCATGCTCTAATGATTCTCTATGCTCTTCTGTACCCCTTTTTTGAACAGCAATGTCTTGTTCTAAGCATTTTCTCTAGCCTGACTGCATTCTCACTGCTCTTTCTAAGGCAAAACAATAGGATGCTGTATAAGCAGATGTGATAGAAGAACTGGAAGAACCTAACCAGTGAACATAGAATTATTATTTTTAAAGAAGTCTCAAATAATATGGCTTATATCAAGACACTTATAGGTCTGTAAACAAGGATTCTTCACAATATGTGGTGAAAAACATGGCAAATATTTGCCATGGTTTCACCGAATTAGTCTGCTTCAGGGGACTTATATGCTTATATAAAGTCATGATCCAAGCATCTCCCTCATAAGCAACTCTTACACAGACAAAATCTATAGTAATCCCACCTGTAAGTAAAGATAGATAGATAGAAAGATAGAAAGATAGAAAGATAGAAAGATAGATAGATAGATAGATAGATAGATAGATAGATAGATAGATAGATTTTTTTCAAAGAAAAAGTTCTAAAGCATTCTCTGTTGTTACATGTCATCAAGTGCCTAAAGAGCAATCTCTTCCCAGTTTATTAGTATCAGTACACCTTTTGTGACAGGACGTTTTTGTTGCACATGCCTTCAAGTCATGAAAATGCCCCGACCTTCACATTCCTGTAAACTCAAGCTGAAGCTTCCTTTATGGAATTGATCCATCTCATACTTGATCTTCCTCTCCTTCTGCAACTTTCCTTAGCATTATTGTTTTCTCCAGACAAGAACCTTCTGGGTCTAAGAATTTACCACAGGCAAATTAAATTCTCTCTGTTCCTTCTGAGGATATTGCTGTATGGATAAATAAAATAAGGTTATGACCACAGAATTACATAGTGGTGGGTGAATTGGGTACATTAAACTATCCTAGTGGTTCCAGTGTGCAAAAATTACTTTTGTAAAAAAAATAAACTCATATGATGCAGCTATAAAAGAAGGATGGGACATACCTGCCTGGATATACCTGCCAGTGACCTAGGACCAAATCCACCCCAAAAAGCCAATCCCACTAGGGTAAAAAGAGTGGGGGCAAAGGCTTATATAGGAAGGGGAAGCAAAGAGTAAAGTCTGCAAACAGAAGCAACAGAACCCCAAGACAAAGTACAATCACAATTTCTAAGAGTATGCAATCTCTTCAGTAGACACTATGACAGAAAATAACAAATACTTACCCCGATTTACATTATCTAGTTAATAGGTCTCCTGAGAATAGAGGTTCAGCACCATTAGTCAGCAAGAGTACTTCTGATCAGATCCCAGTGTGGAGGACGACAAAGCTTCTCTGGTGCTTTGAAGACATCTCCACCCAGGGCTGTATCCCACCTGTATGCAGTCAAGTACCAAAAGGTCAAAGCAATAAAGCCTGGCCAGTTGTCTTCATGATGGAATATGCCCCTTCCCTTTACTAAGACCCAAAATCATCCAACTTACCTATCAAGAGAAGAAGAAAAGAAAAGGTGGCTGGCTTAGTTAACCCTGGAGCTCTTATCCCAAGACCTTCTTCACAGCAGCTAACAATAAAGAAATGCATAATAAAAACAATAACACAAAAAATAATTTTTTTGCAAATAATGTAAGAGTCAA